CGGTTTAACTAAAGCTGGCTCCCGAAATGTGGTATATTTCCATCCGAACTCCGAACCTAATAAGGATTAATTCGGTTTCGGTCGGTTTTTGTTCGGTTCGGTTCGGTAAAACCGAACCGCATGCCCACCCCTACCTCCTAGTTAGGTTAATGTCGGGAAAACCTCCTATTTCGTATTAGCACTTAGGGTTTGGTTGTGGGTAGTCGTCCGAACTCTAATTCGAGAGTGAAGTCTAACCATTCCTTAGTCAATAGTTTGAGAGGGTCGCATTAGTGGCTTGGATCGTATCTCATTTCCTCGACCTAGTGACTAAGAGGGTAGCTTTGGCTACTTGTTTGACAACCATTCCTTAGTTAATAGGTTGAGAGGGTCACATTAGTGGCTTGGATCGTATCCCATTTCCTCGTCCTAGTGACTAAGAGGGTAGCTTTGGCTACTTGTTTGACAACCATTCCTTAGTCAATAGGTTGAGAGGGTCACATTAGTGGCTTGGATCGTATCGCATTTTCTCTACCTAGAGGCTAAGAGGATAGCTTTGGCTACTTGTTAGAATTCCCTGCGTTTTTATAACCCCCTAAACACACACGGTCATTCGATCCTTCAAGTCATATTTGTCAGCTAGGGGGAGCAACACTCGGGTGAAGCCTTCTCAATTAGTGTCAAATCCACTTTACCTTTGCAAAGTAATTTAGCTTTAGACCTTTGTTTTCACCAAAACTAGTCCGCTAGATAATATTTCAAGCAGTCGAAGTAGCGGTACATGGGACGGACATGGTCGATATTTAAACATACTTGCCTATATTGCACCCATCTAAGGTTTATACTTGGAACTTAGGTGGGACTTTATTGTGATAGTCAGAGCGAGTCAGCAAGTTGTCAGCAACTAATCTCAGCAGTGATTACCAGTGTTTTTCAGTACTGGATGGCGATCTTTCTTCTACCAATGAAGGTGCTGAAACTCATTGAAAAGATATGTAACGTTTTCTTGTGGAATGTGGGGGAAGGGGGTAGGAAGAGAGCACCAGTTTCATAGGATCATGTTGCCTTGCCAAAACAGTAGGGGGGTCTGGGTATCAGGGATTTCAAAACCTGGAATCAGGCTTGTGTCATTTGGAATCTTCTTGCAGAGGCAGGGTCGATCTCGGTAGCGTGGATTTATAAATATAGAGTCAAGCAGAGATCTTTATGGGATTTGATGATCACTGCTTGTGGATTTTGGGTGTGGAGACGTATCCTGAAATGTAGATCCCAAGCTCATACTTTTTTAACTGGAAGTGGGGCTTCACTCCAGTGGGATGGCGCTACACTCAAGCGTTACTCAGTAAAGACTATCTGGTCCTCTATTCGCACTCCTCATCAGTCAGTCCCTTGGTACAAGGTAATTTGGGGTAAGCCTTTTTATCCTACACATACACTCTTAGCATGGTTGGTGATTGTGGATCGCATTGTTACGAAAGACAAGTTGTTGTCTTGGAGGTTAGTACGTGAATATTGTTGTGTTTTCTGCCCAGTAGGTTCTGAGTCTCGATTTCATCTTTTTTGTCAGTGCCCTTATTCATTGTGGGTGTTGAAGAGCATTATATAGCAGATTGGGTGTATGGTGCCTTCATTATGTAGTTGGGAGGATCATCTCCAATGGGGGATCAGTAGTTGGAGTGGCTCAAGTGTTGTTGAAGTTAGTGGACAGTTTCTATGGATTTTGGCATTGAGTCGCATTTGGCATGAGCGATGTAGACGTTTTGGTGGAGATAGTGACTGGTGTCCTCCTCATATTTTGGTCTCGAAGATCAAATGTGATGCTCGAAACTATGTTGCAGGCAGTACGCAGCTCTAGGATTGCTTTTGTAGAGTGTTCCACTGATGTTTTATATGTGATTGTATAAGGTTTATGTTTTGGTTTGAACTCATGAGAGGAGTTTAATGCTAGTTAGCATCTCCCGTTCTTAATGGCAATTTTTTATTAACCATAAAAAAAAATTGAATTATGTAAACTTTTAGAATGTATGTTGTAATCCCACTGAACCCACCGAACAACCCATTAATCGCGATCATCCAACCGAACCCACACACAAGTATATATATGTGTGAGAGTGAGTCATCATTCTTTCTTGATTATATCAATTACATGTATGGTTGACGAGACCATACACATGTTGGTTTTAAGTCTTGTTGCCCATACATTTTTGACTAGACTACGTGCCTAAGAAAATCAGTCAAGAGATTGTTTGAGTTTCCCAACCCTAAATGCTACTTGTGATATATGTGCTTCATAACTGCCTTGTGTACCGCTCGCGTGATTGGGTTTAATTTCTTCTATTACATATGAGACCACACATATATAGTATGTCCTTAGGAGATTGAGGTAGGATACATCCATGTGGTTCGCTAAAACTAACACTCAAATCAAAAGCAAAGTGCGACCGCGCGATGATCATAAAAGTAGTATAGTGTTCAAGTAATAAATTATTATATCCTTGGATCCTTAGATCTACTATTACTCAGATTAACTATGCTATCTAGCAATTCAATTTTAGATCGTATGCAAAAGATTGACAAAATGGAAAATAAATTGGTTTAAATTCAATTGGAGAAAAGGTCATTCATCAATTGATTCCCCCTGGTAACTAGCCGAATTAATGATAAATGATTCTTTAATTCATTTTCACTGTTGTTAATATTGCGGGAAGTCGTCTTAAATCTCGATTAAATGGATAATACCCTCTTAAAAAGACTGCTTAGAGGGACACTATCATCAACTAAAACATAATACCAAGGTAGTTTGCACTAGACTCTCTCTATTGGTAATATTCACTCACAATACAATCGATCCTCTACTTCCAATCAATGGTGCTATATTAACCTAATTAGATAATATTGCTTCTTAATAAAACATGAATTGTAAGAAATTGACCAGGGTTCAAACAATTCAACAACCATGCATCAATTGGATATAAACTATAAGTTAAAACAAATCAAAGCATCATTCAATCATCTATTCAACAATCATAACAAGGGTTCCTCATACCCAAGCACCAAGAGGGATTAGTTCATGAAGGATGAGAGAACAAACAAAGTAGCAGCAACAGAAGAAGAAACAACTCCATGGTAGAAGTCTTGATCGATCGCCCCCAATCGCTTCCTATGGTGATGAGCTGTTGGAAAATCTCCTTTATTTGCCTTTTATCTCAATTTTTAGGTTTTAGGTTAAGTATTGTCGTCCTTCTTCGAAAAACACTTAAGTTGGCTTAAATAGAAAAGGTTGATGTTCTCGAACACAGCCACAAGCACGCCCGTGCTCTAGGCGGTGTCCGGCTCGACAGTAATTTTCATTATGTTCTACAACTCGTCAATTGTTCTTCACGTTCGAAGCACCTCCTGCAACAGGGTCGTGCTCCAGGTGGTGTTGAGCTTGTAAAATCAACTTCCATCACGTATAAATGCACTTTAACTCACACCGAACTCCATAATTACGATCCTTAACGTATTTTTCGTCCAAATGTCGTCAAATTCGCTCAAACTTACCTGAAATACTCTAACATAACAAACCAAACATAAAACTGGCAAAAACATATTTGCTTGTTGAATTTTAGAATGAAGTTTTTTAGTTTTTAAAACCTTAGGATTTGTGATGGATTTGATGCATTACAGATTTAAAAGAGTTCATCGTTTGTGTAGATGATTTTTTATCATGGATTTGTTGCTTTTTGTACCAAGGGCCCATAGATTTGCCTTCCATCAACCAAATCTCAAATAAAAGGTGGGATTTATAAATCCGTGGGATCCATAGATTTGGATCTAAAAAATTGTACAAATCTATGGGTCCCACGGATTTGGACCCCAATTTTCTTATACAACAAACAATGGAGTTGGCTAAATCCAACAAGCAAACGACCCCATAAATCTTGCAGAAAAATAATAGCCCAAACAACGTCAAATGGGGAGTAAAAATATGTATAATTTAGAGTGCATCACCAAGGCAAGCAACCTTACTTAGATATATCGTAAATCCTAGTGTTAGTCATTCACTCCTAGTGAAAGTATCCCAAAGAACGTCTTTACTTAATTCTTTACTTCCAAGTGAAATTATTTTATATTATAAGACATAACATTAATACAAATATAAAATACAACACAACATGTTGCATGAATTCATAATCCAAATTCCAGCACATAAAATTACAAATAATTAAATGTCTTTATATAATTAGCGAGTACCAACTAGCAGTACATCAAACACAAGCACCATAAGAGCATAATCTCTTACAAACATAAAAAAAAAAAACAAATACTACTAGCGTGCGAGGTTTGCTTTGTCGACTGTAGAGGGGAGTCAAAGAGCCCTAACTTTCTGGTTCTCACTCATAAACATAGTCAAGACTTTAGATGGAGAGTTGTTTGTCATGTATGTGAATTGGGATGCTTGGAATTACGATTTTGATTGGTTTTGTTAGCCAAAGTCCAAAAATGTGGTTTACCACTAGGAGGTTATTGTTTAACTAATAATGGATTGGTCGGTAAGCGATCAACCACTAAATACAATACAGCTAATCAAAACCGAACCACTAAAAATTTATCGATTAATCACTAACCGACATTATCGATCTGATTATGAGTTATTGACCAACCACTTACCACATTAAATAAGAGACTCCATGATAATAATTTTCTAATTAATTTTGGCCAATTTATAATTTAGACGGAAAGATAAACAAAATTACGGTTAGCTATTCCTGATTTCCAATTCAAATGGTTAAACTCCAAAATTAGGTGATTAGTATTGTCGGTCGTCCGTCAAATCTTCCCTTCCTCGTAAATCGTAATGGCGATGATGGCCGTCCTCATAAAATTAAAAAAGACCATTTCTACCAATATTAAAATTTTTAAAAAAAGACCCAGTTTCTTCTGTACACCTATTAAGATGCCACGATCGCTATTTGACTTCCCCGGAATCTGAGCCGTCGATATACCTAAATCCCGCCACTTCCGGCAGACAATAATAAATGGTGAAGTGCTGGAATGGCGGTAATGGACTACTGGGCATCCGCCGGCTTTGCTCCGGCGGGTGGGCGCCGAGGATTTTCCGTCGACGGGAAAAGCTGGTTCGCCGGTGGAACGCGTTTTTCCTTGTGCTCTGCGGAGTTGCTCTGCTAGTGGATCCTCTGTTCCTCTACATCCCTCGAATCAACAGCGTCCAGAACCACTGCGTCGATTTCGACAGAAGCCTGGCGACATTTTCCACGGCACTGCGCTCCGTCGTCGACGCTCTCTACTTGATTCGCATCCATTTCCGGTTCCGCACCGCCTTCGCCGCTCCGTCCTCGACGGTTTCCGGCGCCGTCGAGCTGGTAGAAGATGGGTCCGCAATCGCCCGCAGATACTTGTTTTCCTTTTTCCCCGTCGACCTCGTTTCCCTCCTTCCATTCCCTCAGGTTAACATTTTTCTCTTTCTTTTTCTTATTTGACTGACAAAGGGTTGCTGGGTTTTGACCTCAAGGTCTTCAATTGAAATCCTGGTTATGCGGCTCGATGGTTCCACCCATGGCAGCACCATATGGCTTATAACAACAACAAAATTAATGTTTCTTTGCAGGTGCTAGTTATGGTAGCTTGGTTCATGAAGAAGGCCAGGGGATCAGGAACCTTGACGGCGATTACAGCACTGCAGCTGGGGGTTTCCCTTCAATTGGTACCTAGGGTATGCAGAATCTACCAGCTGAATCAGGAAGTGATCAAGACTTCCTATGCCATAAAAAAAGGTGCAATTGCTAGGACTGTCATGACCATCTTTCTTTACGTTGCTGCTGCTCATGTAAGTAACAGAGTCAACCATAACTGAGCTTGCCCAAGTAAATTTTCAGCTGTCAATTTTTTGCACTATTCAGTATCCTTTTTTGTGTTAATTGAGTTCATGGGTTCAGTTCCTCGTTGTTAGGTGATAGAGGAATGTGACTGAAAAGCTTGATTATTCATTTTGGAAATGGAATGGATGGTGGAAAAGAATGGTGATTTTATATTGGTTCTGTGCACTTCTGAACAGTAATAGTTGATTTGATATACAGTAGGTTCATGCAAACTTCAAATTTGATAGTGACAAGCTTTTGTTTGAGGGTTTTTTCAACTTTATAAGAGAAGGGTAGAAGATCCATTTATGTGACTCCCTACAAGCTGATGAGTTGAAAGTTTCGTTAGTGTTTAATGATATTCAAAGCTTGAATGCAAAAAATTCAATGCTCTTTCCTCAAAGGATTGATTGGCCAATATTTGTTTGAGTAGGTCATAGGAGCGTTCTGGTACTCACTATCCATACGCCGTCAAATGGATTGCTGGCGAGCAGCCTGTGATAGTCAAACTAGTGGCTGTGTTTACAATGCGATATTAACTTGTGGGAATGACGGAAACTCTCCAATGAATAATAGCTCAACATCAGTGCTTCTGGAACAGAGTTGCCCCACAGGTTCAGGAGTTGCAGGAGGTTATTTGCAGATTATCAACTATGGGATGTTCGCAGATGCAATTAACTCTGGTGTATTGAAGTCATTGCATTTCGAGAGGAAGTTGCTCTACTGCTTTTGGTGGGCTCTCCAAAGTCTCAGGTCAGTTACAAATTGTCCACTGATTCAAGTTACTATACCAACCTTGAGCTGGTTTAATAAGGAGTCGAGTACCGTGGAAAATGAATTGATCTTACAGTGTTTGAACTGCAGCACTTTAGGTCAGAACATCAAACCAAGCCTGGACAGTACTTGGGAGATATGCTTTGCAATCGGGATTTTCATTCTTGGGTTGTTCTTATTTTCTCTTGTCATCGCTGTCATTCAGGTAACTTTTAATCGCCATCATCGTGCTCTCTGAAACATTTCTTTTGAAATTACTGTGTAAAGCATACATCATAATCTGCAGACAAGGATTCTAACCACGACGATACGAATGGAGGAGATGAAGATGAAATGGGAAGATGTGGAGAAATGGATGTCTTCCCATTTTGTCCCTCAAGAGTTAAAGAGGCGAGTCAGGCGACATGAAGAGTACAGATGGCGAAGGCAACAGGGCGTCGACTTCCATGATCTGCTACGCAGTCTTCCCAAGGACCTGAGAAGGGACATGAAGCGCCATCTCTGCCTGAACTTGATCAAGAGAGTAAGTATACATGAAAAGTTAGTTAACTACGCGGGACTTATCATTGGAATGCAAATTTTGATGTTGTGGAAAATAATTGAATAAAGGTACCAATGCTGGAGAAGCTGGATGAGAGAAGACAGGAGGAGGTGTGTGAGCGATTGAGGCCAGTTCTGTACACAGAAGGAAGCTGCATCATCCGCGAAGGAGACCCGTTGGAGGAAATGCTTTTCATTGTCAGGGGAAGTATGGAATCGTCCAAAAGTACCTCCGGAGTCTTCTTCAGTAGTGAAATCCTCGAAGGTGGCGACTTCTATGGCGATGAAATCCTTATATGGGCTACACTAACAGTAGCAACTACTTGTAGTTCTTCCTTGCAGCAGCGGCCTGCAGTTTCGTCCAGCCTAATGAAGCTCCCCGTTTCCTCTAGCACTTGCATTACGCTTACTGAAGTTGAAGCCTTTGCCTTATCTGCTGCTGACTTGAGGTCCTCTGTCACTAATATTGCTTCTGAGCTTCAATTGAAAGATCCAATTCGTTGGAGGTCGATTTGAACATTGTTGTTGGAAGTGACTTGTAATTGAAAAGAAGAACAGTTTGTGCACCCATCACATCACCCTAGTAGATAGTTTGAATGTTACTACTAACAACGACGAATATGCATTTACGATTAAGAGCTATGTGGCTAACCAATCCGGCTATTAAGCTTGCTCCGGTGCATGTAGGGAAAATTCCCTAAATACACATAAAATAAAATAAAAAATTCTAAACTACCACACTTATAAAAAGATTTCCCAAAATACCTAAGTTTGCAGTGTTTCGAGTTTGTGGAACTCGAACTACTAATTGGTTCGAGTGTAAGAGAATCTATCTAAACGTAGATCGATTATGTAAGCCTCAAACCATGTGGGGGTGAAGTGGTTTGAGTTTGGTGAACTCGAACTATTAACTGGTTCGAGTGTAAGAGATTCGATCAAACGTAGATCGAATATGTAAGCCTCGAACCATGTGGGCTAAAGTGGTTTGAGTTTGGTGAACTCGAACTACTCTTTTGAAATTTTCAACAACCTTAACTTTGTGCTCGGTTATCTGATCGTAGCAAATATTTTTTTCATTTCGCATAACTTTTCGAGGACTACAACTTTTGTCATAGCAATATTTTCAGAATATATGTGAAAATGTGAAAATTAAAGCTAAAGTTATTCCGAAAACCCCTTACATTCAAAAATATTTTTATTTTGAAAATATATATCTAGTAAATGTTGTAGTACTCAAAAAATTATGCAAAATAAACAAAATTGCCACGTTCGGATAACGGAGCACAAAGTTATGATCCTCTACAGTTTGACAAAATCGAAAAATTGCTCGTTTAGGGGCAACAAATGATGTTTTCTCGGGGCGAAGGCACTGTAATTTTTTTATATATCGGAACTTTCCACCAAACGGGCAATTTTTTTGCCAAACAAGCAATTTTTGGTGAACTCGAACTACTTCTTTGAAATTTTCAAAAACCTCGAACCACTTCAGCCCCACATGGTTTGAGGCTTACATCATCGATCAATGATTAGATCGAGTCCCTTACACTCAAATCAGTTAGTAGTTCGAGTTCCTTAAACTCGAACCACCCCAAATTTAGGTATTTTGGGAAAATTTTTTACAAGTGCAATAGTTTAGGAATTGTTTTCAATTTTATGTGTACTAGTTTTTTGACCCGCGCTTCGCGGCGATTAGAAAATATAATTAAAATTCATATTTAGTTGAAATCAAATAATTTATAAAATAGTTTGGATCAGTTTCTTTTATAAGCTTGACATAACATGTTAAATATTACAGTTTAATTGATACATAAAAGTCATTATTTAGGGTGCGCCTATGGTGACATGCATGTCACCATAGCAAAGTCCAAAACTTACCCAACACCACATCTTACCCGTACGTCAGTTCCAATTAGCAATTGTTGGTATAAACACACCTTTAGTTTCTAGCTTGACAATATTAACATATTACCATAGTTATAAAAACCGAGCTGGATCAATGGTTGGGCCAGAAAAGCCACTAAAGCAGTAATAATAGCGTTCGGTTCATTGGATTGAACAGTTAGTGATGGAACCAACAATTTTTTATGGTTTGACATGAAATCAATTGAACCACCCCTGGTTTGATTGGTCCATTGGTTCAAAATTTTAACCACAAAAAATTAAAAAAAAATGTTTTAATCTATACTCAGATCACTCATTTTAATTATGCTTCCTTTTCTTCATTTTTCAGTCTCCTTGTCAGGTTTATGCTGTCCACTACGGATTATCGTCCTGATTATTAATTTAAATTTAATTTTAAAAAAATAATTGTTTGATACTTTGTTAGAACATTTTGATGATAGACGATATGAATTTGTTTTAATTGATACATAAAATTCATTATTTATTTATAAGTTTTAGTAATGTATTTTTAATTTCCATATATGTTAAAGAATGTTTTTACCTAAATTGCTTAATGTATAGTCCAATAATAAAACTAAGTTATAAATAAGTGTCACATTTGATTAACTATTATGTAAAATTAACTTATCTTATTTAACTTTTATGCGATGCAAAAGTGATGGGATTGTGAAAATTGTAGGCAATAATAAAGGAATTTTATTTAACAATAAATAAGTTACGAAAAGTATCACATATGATTAAATTGTTATGTAAAACTAACATATCTTAGAAAAAGATTATAATGCAAATTGATAAGATGGTCACCCGTTTAGTTAATTAAAATTGTAGGATTTTCATTCAAACTTATACTATGAAATATTTACATATTATGTTTATTTAATTGATACACAAAAAATTAACATCCCTCATAAGTTTTATGTAGTGTCTCCATCATTATTGAATACTTACGTAATATGCTATATGTAATTTTATACATAAGGAATATAACTATATAAGTAATCCAGTGTAAGATTCATGTAATGTATTTTTAATTTACGTAATTGTTATAGAATGGTGTTACGAAAATCTTCCGTAATACGTGATCTAATAATAAAAATGAAGTTATGTAAAATATCACATTCGATCAAACTACTTGTAACTTACCTTACAAAATTTTTGCGTTATGCAAATTGATTAAATGATGAACATTATTTGTAGTTCATAATAAAGTATTAAATTTCTGCCCAATTACTCATGTCTTACTCTCATACTCCGATTCCCCCCTCAATTTTCCAGCAATTCGACCAATGTTGCAGCCCTCTCTTGCTCTCTTTCAACCTTGCCTATATCACTCAATTTCCCTTCTGCTCTCCCCTCCTATGCACCTTAACCAATCAAAATATAATTAAACCCCTCTCAATGATATTAAACTACGAAAAGGAGCTAGGGAAATAAAACCTTAGGACCGGCAGCTTCCGTCTCTCTGCTGGGCTAAGCTTCGCAGCTGCCACCAAAACTTCGTCTGGAAACAAAAGGAGAAGAAGTAGAGAGATATATCAAGGGAGAGGAGGGGAAGAATGGGAAAAATGATGAGTGGAGAAGCTTACTCAGCCTCCACCAGGCAGTCTTCGGGCGAAGAAAAGATGCTGCCCGACACACGCTACAACTGGCCGTACGCAACAAAACATATTTAAAAACAATAAGCGCCAATGAACAGTATTTTTATGAGAGCTTTTTTCGTAAGGAACAGTACAAATATTAGAAGGTTACTTGCGGGTTAATAATTAAAATTTGTGGAAAAAAGTTAGCTATGGCAACGAGTAGGTCTAGAGGTCATGAGCATTATATTCATCCATATAGCTTCTTCTTCGGTTCTACCTTAAGGTTGATGGGTCGATAATATCAGCACAAGTGTTAAATTACACGACCTTGACGCAGCTACAAATTTCTTGGAGTTGGAACCATTTAACTAAGGAAGATCTCGAAGAAGTCAAAGTCAAGGGGCAAACTACAAGTGTTACGTCACCTAGGAAAGAGGCAAAGTAGCTTAAGAGGAGAACAAATTCAGGAGACAAGCTCCAGCCATTTGACATCACCATTCAAGGGTTAGGGGAACCTCTACAAAATCAGACACCCTCTAATAGAAAGTACGCCCAACCATATATAGTATTTACTAGTAAATTGCCCGGCCAGTTGGCCGGGTTGTGGTTGTTTCATTTACAGCATATATCTTGCTTTAAGGTGTCCTTTGGCCTGTTTCTGTTTTTACGAAATGCTTCGCCGGTTGTCAAGCTGTGGTTATCAACAGTATCATTTATAGCTGAAAAGTATAAGTGCATCCCCATTCAAATTTTCCTGCACGTGGAATGATTTTAGGAGGCTGACGTGGCAGGGTGTTTAGGTGACATTAATTTGGGGTTTTAGGCGGCATTAATTTAGAAAACCCCGCCTAATGGGAGGGATAAAGAACTGCCGACTACTTTTTTTTTTTTTTGGCTGAAAATCTCCTTCCTCTTTCCTGTTCTCATCGCAACAAAGCTCCTGCTGCACTCAACCGCTCATTTTCTCACCAGAGGAAAAGCTCCGCCAGTTGGCCTTTCTTTCTTGGATGAGGGGGTCATCGAGAAATGCCAGTTCAGGACCGCTAAGCCGATAAACACGTTCTAAAGTAGCCTTGTGACTTTCCCAAACTGCTTCAGGTAAAAATGAAACTTATGAAGCTTTTTATAGTCAGAAAGTGAACCATCTACAAAGCTTTTTGCAAGACAAATCATCGCCTTTCTTTCATATGGGGGTTTTCAGGGAGGGATGTGATTTGTAGAGGTAGCTGCTCCCATCCAAGGTCATGAAACAACCACATTGAGCTCGAGTTTTGAGTATGTTTCTCGAGGGAGCAAGAGGAAGGATCAAGAAACCTTGATTGTCGCAACCTAAATAACCCATATATTGTGATCATATGAAGGAATTCCACATTCGTCCACCAATCATGATAAGTCTCTTTTCTTACTCCATGATTTAGAGCTTGCTGATGGTATTCCTGCAAAAAAAATGGTGTTGATGGTTTATGAAAAGTTGATTGGAGTAATTGCCAGCATTACTTACTGTTTCAATGGTCAATCAGGTATAAATAAGTATAAGAGATATATATCCTATTCTTTTGTAGTAGACTAAGATGAATGGTTAATTATGTAGAGAGTTGCTGGTTCTATTTAAAATTGGTTTGTTTTGTCCATTCGTATTTGCTTTTCATCTTCCTTTTACCTCGCGATTCGGGCCAGTTGGTGACTTTCATTATTTTCACAAAACCATAACCTCAACTCTGTCAATCGATTTCCATGCTTGCAGTTTCACCGGCTCTTCTTCGCGGTATGAGTTATGGAGATTTGTTTCTGCGAATGACAGCTCTGTCAACTGTCAAGTTCTGCAATTTCGATTGGTGGGTTGATTCTTGCTGTCGGGGTTTTCTTATGTAGTGTTTGCTTGCTAATTTAGATTGGCGTCTTTGCTTTTCTCCTTTCTTTGAACTCGCCTTTCTAATTAATTGAGAAAAGAATTGTTGTCTTCCACTTATCGATCCCTTTGGATCAAATTGATCTCAATGGTCTTGAACATCTAAACCTTCTAAAGGATTTGAG